ATGTCAGGACAGATTTAATCGTGACCTTAACCAGCAGATGTGTTTTTGTCCCCAGTTCACAAATATTTATGTAACCTTAATACATTTTGCAATGATCACAGTGATAAAACTGTATGAAAACTTCTGCACATGATTTGCTCAGTTGTAGTTAGCACCATTGTGTGTAGCATTAGACACAGTTGTGTTTTTACCCAAAAGCTACTTTGGCTCTTTCAAATACTAAAACTAAATTTTACAAGTTTTGAAAACAATTTATATTTATATATTTAAAGGGGTGGGGTGGGGGTTGATAAAGAATGAGCAACATAAAAAAAAAAGTAAAAACTGTTAATAAACTTTAATTAGCTGATCCCATTCAAGCATTGTAATTTAATTTCAACTGCACGTTTTACTACGTCATACTAATTTACTGTTGTTTAAAAAGGTAATCCCCTCCTAGTAATGTTTTTTCTTTTTACCAAATATAAGTATAGAATGGAGCAGAAGTTGTTCTAATAATAATAATTATGATGATCAATATAGTACTGCGTCAGATTACTGTAACGCATACGTTTTGTTTATTTCCACAGCGGAATGTACACCGCCTTCTTTTGCATCAAGAAATGTCGTTTTAACAGCAAACCATCTCTCGACTCAAAGTTTCTCAGATGGATCCACTGTAACATTTGAGTGCGTGATTGGACACAAGCCAGTTAACTTAAAAGCATCTAGATCGGTTACCTGTGAGCAAAACCAGTGGACAAGTCTGGAACTCAGTTGCACAAGTATGTACTGTCATTAAATATTAAGTAATGTACATTTGTAAATTCCTTTAAAATGCCTTTGAACATTGTATTTTAAAAGGTCTAATTTAGATATGTGAAAGGATGTATGGTATAGTTCAAGAAGTCTTTAAATCACTCATAGTGGTTTTGCCACTGACGGCAAGAATAAATCCCTGTATCATGTAATGAAGCAACACTAAAGATGATTTTTCATTATTTTCGACAGTATTTGAAGAGCACCAATTCTAAATGAATCAATATCTTGAATACATTACAGGAAAATCCTGTGGAAGTCTTGCAGATTTCCTTAATGGGAGATATGATATGACTGGGAATTTATTTGGCGACACGGCTAAACCAGTTTGTCACACAGGGTAAGTGAAACAGTTAATGTCATTTTATATATGCTGTTTTAAGTCTGTTTTAAACCATGTGGAATTTAGATTTGCTGTGTTAGTTGAGTATTTAGTAAGATGAGAATCATTGCTTTCAGATACATGTTAGCGGGTAAGGAAACAACAAGAACATGCCGAGATCAGGGATGGGATGGCCGAGATCCTCTCTGTGAATGTATGTTAGTTCTTCCATTTGAATAAAATATAATATTGAAGAGCACAAAACCATTCCCAATTTGTATTAAAATATTTTTTTTGTCCTGGAAATAAATACCTATTCATCTGGATGTGTTTTTCTCTTTAGCGGTGAAATGTTCAGCACCTCCAGCCTTAGAAAATGGGCAACTTCAAGATGAGCCTTTGGATAGTTACGATTATTTAGATGCAGTCTCCTATAGATGTAACACAGGACTTAATCTTATAGGACAATCAACACTTCATTGTTCTGAGGATGGAACCTTTAAACCAGATCCTCCGAAATGTGTTGGTAAGCTATGGTTAAAATGCCAGTCATGAGATGAAGAAAAAAAAAGTTTCTTCCCGTTAATGAATAAAATATTTAATGATCAATACTTTTCTTTTACATAAACATTTTTTCTTTCCTTTTTTTCCCAGATGGGTGTCTAACGCCTACAATTCCTAATGCAAAAAGAATTGGTGGAAAATCACCCCCCTACAAACTGGGTAACTTTATAGAATACAAATGTGAAGATGGCTATACACTGAACGGAGATGCTTCTATTGTGTGTAAAGCAAATGGATGGAGCCCTGAACCACCACAATGCATTAAAGCAAGTAAGATTGAAATAATTTATTTTATTAATGTATGACTGCAATTTGTAAAGGAACTGTTCACCCAGAATGAAAGTTGTTATATACTTACTTGTGGTGTTTGTTGAGGAAGTCTTAGTGAGCTATAGTGAGTCTAGCTAACCATCACATTAGTAGTGCAGAAGATAGAAATAAGTAATAATGGTATAATAACTCAAATGTGACCCTGGACCACAAAACCTGTCATAAGGGTACTTTTTTTAAAATTGAGATTTATATATTTGGCCGAGATACAACTATTTGAAAATCTGGAATCTGAGGTTGCAAAAAAATCAAAATACCAAGAAAATCGCCTTTAAAGTTGTCCAAATGAAGTTCTTAGCAATGTATATTACTAATAAAAATTTATGTTTTGATATATTTTACAGTAGGAAATTTACAAAATATCTTCATTAAACATGATCTTTACTTAATATCCTAATGATTTTTGGCATAAAAGTTCAATAATTTTGTATACTATAAAACTGTATTACTATAAAAAAAATCAATAATTCTGACCCATACAATGTATTTTTGGCTATTGCTAGAAATATACCCGTGCTACTTAAGACTGGTTTTGTGATCCAGTGTCACAAATAGTATTCAGTAGTATATAAATAGTATTTAGTAAAATAGAATTCTCTGCGGATTCGTTTACAAACAAGGCACAATTCAACGCCGGGTTTTCTGAAAGGCTGAAATTAAAAGAGATGCTGTGCGACTATATTGGATTCGACAGTAATGTCACACCACACAAGTGTGAGTGTGTGAGTAACTGTTTTTATTACGTGATCACTATTGATTTATCTATTATTACAGGTCGTTTGGTATGTACTGACTGAGTATTTATGCGATTTTAACCTAAATCACAGCAGCGTCCATCTATGAAGGATGTAGGCTGTCAAACATACACAACTGTTAGCCAATCATAGCAGTCGGCGTTTACTTCCGAGTCTACAATCCGCCACATCTATTCAAACAGAGCGTTCCGATGAGGGGCTCAAAACAGGACAGAAAATAGCATACAAAGTAATAAAAAAGGTAGTTCATGACCCCTTTGAGAGTGTGACTATTTCTGGGGTTATCTGGACTTCTTGTACTCACATTTCTATAGTTCCCTAACCCAATGCAAATGTTGATTCTCAGCCCTACCTACAACTCCTGAGATTTCCACACCATCCAAGGCTCCTAAAGAGAAAGGTATTGAGAGAGCTCAGAAACTTTCTGTTCAGATATTTATTAACAATTAAAAGAAAATGATGGCCTACAATTTAGGGCTGGACATTTTTAGCCACCCCATGAATAGAATAAATTTTTGATTCGGGGATATAATTTCAAAAATCACAACACATCCCCAAAAAAAAGGTCAAATCTTTTGGGAATTAAAGTGGCCATGCATATGCTCTAAATTCATAAAAGTGCTAATATATGTAGAAATCTGATATAATACCCTAGTCGCAAAGGTAGTTGGTATCAATCAATTCATTTGTATTGCACATTTACTAACCATATATAGGCCAGATTTGTGCGTGAAGTCTGTCTTCAAATGTTTTCACGACCAAATCATGATTTGCCAGTAACATTCCAATAACATACTAAATTTTAGTCTGATTTTACAAAAAAAAAAAAAAAGTAGGAACAGCTGAAACCACACATTAACCACACTTAAATCACATAATCTGGGTGGATTTATAAACATGTTAAATTTATACATGGATATTTCATAATTTCTAATGTTTGCTAAGATTGACAAAAGGCTGTAAAGGAAAGGTTGCATGAATCCTTTATACCAGTGGTTCCCAAACTGGGGGGCGTGGCAAGGCTGAGGGATAGTGTACAGTCAGCAGATTATTTTGCAAAAGAAACCTCTGCAGGGTGATAAAGACTTTATTTATTTTATTTATTTAGTAGACGCTTTTATCCAAAGCGACTTACACTGTGTAATTTTTCCGCTTATCATGCGGCCACTTGCCTGATAAGTAAATAATTGAATGCAAAATATTAATTTGACAGTTTATCTACCTCAGCAGGACTCGCGGTACCCGCTTGAGAGCCCCGTTATCGGTTGTAGCAGTTGTGGTTGTATCAATAACAGACCACTAGATGGCGCGATTTGAAGAATCAGAGTTGTATTGCAGGGAGCCATGTAGAAATATAAATGAACGATTTATGGTTCTGCTGTATGCATGCAAGTTACACGTTTGTGAAAGGACTTCCAGTGCCAGGTAAATGTAAAGCAGATTATGAATATACTTAAGATTCACAAATACCCAAACAACATGTCTACACCAGACGCGAGCGGCGCGACGTGACAAAAGCAAATAGAACCCAGTGATGTTCTCTGCTGTGGATGCGGTGCGACACGACAAATCCATGACAATAACCTGATGTCCCGATCTATTTCAAACTCCAGCGCTCTGACACAAAGGACAAATTCAAATATTTATAAAAGAAATGTGAAAAAATGGTTTCCTCAAAAATATTGGGCAGCACCACAAAAAAAAAAAAAAAAAAAGTAGGAACAGCTGAAACCACACATTAACCACACTTAAATCACATAATCTGGGTGGATTTATAAACATGTTAAATTTATACATGGATATTTCATAATTTCTAATGTTTGCTAAGATTGACAAAAGGCTGTAAAGGAAAGGTTGCATGAATCCTTTATACCAGTGGTTCCCAAACTGGGGGGCGTGGCAAGGCTGAGGGATAGTGTACAGTCAGCAGATTATTTTGCAAAAGAAACCTCTGCAGGGTGATAAAGACTTTATTTATTTTATTTATTTAGTCATTTAGCAGACGCTTTTATCCAAAGCGACTTACACTGTGTAATTTTTCCGCTTATCATGCGGCCACTTGCCTGATAAGTAAATAATTGAATGCAAAATATTAATTTGACATTTTATCTACCTCAGCAGGACTCGCGGTACCCGCTTGAGAGCCCCGTTATCGGTTGTAGCAGTTGTGGTTGTATCAATAACAGACCACTAGATGGCGCGATTTGAAGAATCAGAGTTGTATTGCAGGGAGCCATGTAGAAATATAAATGAACGATTTATGGTTCTGCTGTATGCATGCAAGTTACACGTTTGTGAAAGGACTTCCAGTGCCAGGTAAATGTAAAGCAGATTATGAATATACTTAAGATTCACAAATACCCAAACAACATGTCTACACCAGACGCGAGCGGCGCGACGTGACAAAAGCAAATAGAACCCAGTGATGTTCTCTGCTGTGGATGCGGTGCGACACGACAAATCCATGACAATAACCTGATGTCCCGATCTATTTCAAACTCCAGCGCTCTGACACAAAGGACAAATTCAAATATTTATAAAAGAAATGTGAAAAAATGGTTTCCTCAAAAATATTGGGCAGCACCACATTTTTCAGCATTAAAATAATCAGAAATGATTACTGAGCAGCAAATCAGCATATTAGGATGATTTCTGAAGGATCATGTGACACCGAAGACTGGAGTAATGATGCTGAAAATTCAGCTTTGATCACAGGAATACAGTAGCCTGTATGTTAAAACATTAAAATAGATATTTTAAATGGACAATATTTCACAATATTACAGTGTTTACTGTATTTTAATAAATAACTTAAGCCTTGGTGAGCATAAGAGACTTTCCAAAAAAAGTAAAAAGGTAGATGTGGGGGGTTTGAAAATATTTTTCTCTACAAAAGGGTGGTCCGGCTGAAAAGGTTTGGGATCCACTGGCCTTCTACGTAGATGGATTGGATGCATTTCATGCAAATTAATAACCTCAGGCACACAGTCGCTCAATTAGGATACTGGGGGCCAATATGGACCCCCAGTATCCAATATGATGGCCAATATGACCCCAAAATGGGTAGTTATTGTAAAAAATATATACATTTTTAATCATACAAATAATATATATAATTTTTTTGTTTACTTCTCATCTATACATTAAAGCTGTGTTTTGGGAGATATTAAATACTTCTGTACCTATTTTTGTACAAAATTCCTCAACTACACCATTAGCTTTCATGTGATATATCACATTTTTATGAAAAAATCACTTAAATTATCTAGATTTGATTTAAGTTGTTTCTGGATATTGATCTAGGTGTTGGGTGTAGAATTCTGCCATCTGCCGGTTAGAGAAAAACTTGTAGAAATTAGAGTTTTTGAAAGAATTGTGTAATGACCATAAATATCCAGCAGAGGTCCATAGAGATCCATTCATTTTTCTGGAAGTGGCCAACTGCTCCTCTCACAACTGTTCTGATATATATTTTGTAAATGTATATATTGAAACATTATAAAATACATAAAAACAGTATTTTTCTAAAAGGTTAGACTTTGTTTTTGTTGTTTTGAGGTATTTTGAAGTGCCCGCTTTTGCAATAATGCCACATAAATGTTTTTGCATGCACACATTTTTTAGTATCGCTTTGTTAGAATACTCTGTTAGAATGGTACAATTAGATGCTTAGCAACAGACTCCCATTTGCATGGCTCATATTCACATGCTTTGGACAGTCGTGGAAACACTGTGTGCTGTATAAAAATTAGTTTTACAGTTTCAGGGGAAAAGGTAAAATGGTGACCGAAAAAGTGTGAATTGGGCAGAAAAAGAGAATGTTTCATTATTACCTTTATAGTCCACCAAAATGTCCATTCAGGAAAGAATTGATAGGACAGTCTGCAATATAAATCATGTGGATGCGCAGTCCTAGAGCCGTTATGTGAACAGGTCACAGACTGCATTCGTCCAATGAGTGACACTGACACCTGCAAATATGCAAATAAGAGTGTTTAGAAATGTTCAGTGTGAAACGTCAGTTTATGAATACCCAGGATTAATTGTTAACTAGGGGTGGGCGCTATACCGGTATGAAAGTGACTACCGGTATTATGTTGTTCCATGAAATGGATTTTGCTATACCGTGGATACCGGTTTTGCAATTTTGCATTTATATTTGTTCAATTTGGTACGCTTTGCACACATTTTAACACAAATGACGATTAAGAGTCGAAACTGAACGTTTTAGTCCTGTGTGCAATAATATAAATGAACGATGCGGTTCTGCTCTAAGCATGAAAGTTACAAGTTTGTGAAAATACTGCCAGTGCCAGGTAAACAAAATGCAGATTCTGAATATACTTAATATTCACAAATGCCAAAACAACGTGTCTACACCAGACATGAGCGGCGCGACGTGACAAAAGCAAATAGAACCCAGTGATGTTCTCTGCTGTGGATGCGGTGCGACACGACAAATCCATGACAATAACCTGATGTCCCGATCTATTTCAAACTCCAGCGCTCTGACACAAAGGACAAATTCAAATATTTATAAAAGAAATGTGAAAAAATGGTTTCCTCAAAAATATTGGGCAGCACCACATTTTTCAGCATTAAAATAATCAGAAATGATTACTGAGCAGCAAATCAGCATATTAGGATGATTTCTGAAGGATCATGTGACACCGAAGACTGGAGTAATGATGCTGAAAATTCAGCTTTGATCACAGGAATACAGTAGCCTGTATGTTAAAACATTAAAATAGATATTTTAAATGGACAATATTTCACAATATTACAGTGTTTACTGTATTTTAATAAATAACTTAAGCCTTGGTGAGCATAAGAGACTTTCCAAAAAAAGTAAAAAGGTAGATGTGGGGGGTTTGAAAATATTTTTCTCTACAAAAGGGTGGTCCGGCTGAAAAGGTTTGGGATCCACTGGCCTTCTACGTAGATGGATTGGATGCATTTCATGCAAATTAATAACCTCAGGCACACAGTCGCTCAATTAGGATACTGGGGGCCAATATGGACCCCCAGTATCCAATATGATGGCCAATATGACCCCAAAATGGGTAGTTATTGTAAAAAATATATACATTTTTAATCATACAAATAATATATATAATTTTTTTGTTTACTTCTCATCTATACATTAAAGCTGTGTTTTGGGAGATATTAAATACTTCTGTACCTATTTTTGTACAAAATTCCTCAACTACACCATTAGCTTTCATGTGATATATCACATTTTTATGAAAAAATCACTTAAATTATCTAGATTTGATTTAAGTTGTTTCTGGATATTGATCTAGGTGTTGGGTGTAGAATTCTGCCATCTGCCGGTTAGAGAAAAACTTGTAGAAATTAGAGTTTTTGAAAGAATTGTGTAATGACCATAAATATCCAGCA